GAGCACCCAACTAAGAAGGGCAGCTACAGGCCAATCTCTCTAGTGAACACAGATGCAAAAACCCTCAATAAGATACTGGTAACACAATGCAGCAAATCATCGAGAAGATTCTGCACCATGGCCAAGCAGAATTCATCCCAGGGATGCAGGAAATGATTCAACATATGTAAAATAAATGTAATATACCATATTAACAGAGGACAAAAATCTTATGATTATCTCAATAAACACAGAAAAGGCTTTTGACAAAGTCCAAAATTCATTCATGATTTTTAAAAAAAAACCTGCAGAAAATTGGAATAGCTGGTCTTTATCTCAGTGTGATAAAACTCATCAGTGACAACCAACAGCCAATATCACACCAAATAGACCAAAACTGAAAGCTTTCACTCTAAAATCAGGAACAAGGCAAAGATGTCCACTGTCACCACACTTATTATTCAGTATGGCTATGGAAACTTTAGCCAAAGCAATTAGACAAGAGAAAGAAATAAAAATAGGGAAAAAAGAAGTTAAATTATCATTATTCATGGATGACATGATGCTCTACATAGAAGACTCCAAAAACTTCACTAAAAGATTTCTTGATTTAATAGCTAAATTCAGTAGTAGATACAAAATCAATACTCAAAAATCAATAATATTCTTGTACATCAATAACAAACTCACTGAGAGAGAAATTAGGAAAACAACACCTTTCACATTAACACCCAAAAAATGAAATATCTTGAAATCAATCTAACAAAGGAAGTAAAAGACCTCTATATTGAAAACTACAGTACTCTGAAAAAGGAGATTGAAGAGGACATGAGAAAATGCAAAAATATCCCTTGCTTTTGGGTAGGAAGAACCAATATAGTGAAAATGGCCATATTTACAAAATAGTTAAACAGATTTAATGCAATTCCAATCAAAATTTCAACAGCATATCTCACAAAATTAGAGAAAATAATACTAAAATTCATTTGGAACCAGAAGATACCTAAAATAGCAAAGGCAATCCTGGGCAACAAAGGCAAAGCAGGAGGCATCACAATCCTAGATTTAAAATTATACTACAAGGCTATCATGATAAAAACAGCATGGTACAGGTTAAGGGGAAAAAAAACCTAATAGAAGATCAATTGAACAAATGAGAAGATGCAGAAACAACTCCAGGCACACTTATCTTTTTTTAAAATTTTATTTAAAGAAAAAAAAACAGTAAAAGGATACAAGTAATACAGAATTTCAAAAAAATAAACAGTAAGAAATCACTAGTTAATAGATTACATATTGTCATCTTAGAAATAGTTGTTCAAGTTACAAAATTAAAGCATACAAAGTGGACATTCAGTGAGACTGCAAACAGTTGTGTTCAATGATCCAACAAAAAGCTTAGTAATACCGTCATCTATCTTACACACCTAAACATACTTGCAGTTGTATCATTTAGAGCACTTTCTTTTCCTCTCTTTTTTACAGTAACATTTACACATTTTGGATTTTATTACTCCCACAGTTCTTATTACTTTTTTTTGGAAGAGAATAAAACCAAATTACGACAAAAAACGAGTCAGTCAAAACAAAGAATGAACATAGTACATGATGTAAAAACAGAATACAAGGTAATGGTTACCATAATGCTTCTTGCTACCTTAAAAAGAATTACCTATATCATCAGGTATAATAAAATTGAACAAAACAGTACAGAAAAAAACCAATAAAATCTAAACATTGGAGACATCACAGGACTTCAAAAGAAGATAATAGTCAAACCAGAATGGGCATCATAGTGAATCTTATTGCCTTCAAAGTAGTTTAGGCACACTTATCTTTGACAAAGGTGCCAAACACCTTCATTGGAAGAAAGATAGTCTCTTTAATAAATGGTGCTGGAAAGACTGATTTTTCACATGCCAAGTATTAAAATTAGACCTATATCTTCCACCATGTACTAAACTAAAATTGAAATTGATCAAAGATACAAATACTAAAACAGAAACACTAAATGTAATGGAAGAGAGAATAGGTAGAACTCTTGGAGACATTGGTATAGACAAAGACTTTATGATCAAAACCTGATTGCAAAGGAATTATCACAAAGAATCAACAGCTGGGATGTCATCTTATTAAAAAGCTTTTGTATAACAAGAGAAACTACCAAGAGAATAAAAAAACAACCCACAGGGTGGGGGAAAAAATGCCAGTTTTTCCTCAGACAAAGGGCTTCTATCTAGAATATGTAAAGAACTCAAAAACATCAGACACTTACCCCCAATTTAAAGACTCATTCCAAAAAGGAGCATCTAAAATAAATGATACTTCTCAAATGAAGAAATAGAAATGGCAAATAAATAGATGAAAAATGTCCAACATCATTGGTTATTCAAGAAATACAAATTAATGCTGAGATTTCATCTCATCCAGAAAGAATGCATCTTATCAAGAAATCAAGCAATAACAATTGCTGATGGAATTTGGTGGAGAAAGGAACCCTTCACCAGTAGAGACTGGTACAACCATTGTGGAAACCAGTGCAGAGATTCCTCAAAAAACTAGAACTAGAGGTTCTGTTCGACCCAGCTATTCCCCTTATTGCTATCTTCCTGAAAAAATTAAAAGTCTCTTACCACAACACGCAGACTCATGTTTGTAACAGCCAAATCTTAGAAACAGCCCAAATGCCCATCAATTGCTGAATGACTAGAAAAGATGTGGTCTTTATAAAAAATGGATAAATTCTGACATAAAGAAGGATAAGCTCAAGACATTTTTTGATAAATAGATGCATACTCTTAAGGAAAGTAAATCAGACACACATGTATAAATACAGCGTCACTTTTCTGGTGTGAGAAACCAAAAATTTCAATAATGACCAAAATGTAGAATAGGTATTGCAAAATAATGTGAAAGAAAATGTTCAAATGGGAAGGGCAATAAGAGAAAGGGAAAGGGGGGAAATTTTTAAAAAATAAGAAAAGAAGGGAAAAAATGGAAGCAAAGCTTTTGTAAATAGTGAAGGGAGGAGGGTTTGAAGGAAGGGTAGGTTAATAGGAAAAAAATCACATTATATCATGTGTATGTATAGATTTCCTATGATGAATGTGGTCATTATATGTACTTAAAATGTACCAATAAAATCTGATTTCAAAGAACAGTATAAGGTTTAATTCATTGCACTTGTACCCTCCTCCTACCACTTGATCCTATTCTTTGTGCTCAGAATTTTCATGACATAACCATTACATATCCCACTACTACTGATACCCGTCATTCAAGTTACCAGTCAGTAATTCTTTCCTGGGAAGCTGAAGCAGAAAGATTACACTCTGGCACTGATATAGAAAGTCAGGTAGCGAGTCCTAATCTGGCTTCTTCAAATTGTGGACTTCCTCCTCCGGGCCCAACTGGAACCAGAAAATGTCCTTACATCAGCCTAAAAACAGGGATTGTTGCAATATACAAACAGGAAACAAAATCAGTTACAATAATTTATAACTTCCTACCCACTGGACACGCAAGGACAATACCAAATTCTCTGATCCATAAAAAAACTCCAAATCCAGAAATTAATGTTAAAAACTGGCCCAACGGGGCCGAGGATTTAGCTCAGCGGCATAAGCGCCTGCCTGGCAAGCATGAGGTCGTGAGTTCGATCCCCAGTACAAAAAAAAAAAAACATTGGCCCAAATCTGGGGAACCTATGGGTCCACAGAAAACTAAAGCACAAAACTGGCCCATAAGGACGTGCTTCTACAACTCAGATATACGTATTCTCCAAATGAAAAGATGGCAAGGAGAAATGATATTGTAAGATAACAATGAAATAATATGTAATTCTGGATAATAAAGAAACTTAAAATATGTATAACTATCAAGAAGATGAAAAAGATAATAGATTTCATATTGTAGCACCAAGGAGCATACAAAATGGAAAATTTGAAAAAGAACTCTAGAGTTAAAACACTGTCACTGAAAAATAAAACAATAATATATTAAAAAGGACCCAACCCAGAGAGGAAGAAAACTTAACAGACTGGAAGACAGATCTAAGGAATTAAACCAAGATGCATCACAAGAAGTTAAAACCACGAAAAATATGAAAGACCGATTTAGATGGAGAGAAGAGCACAAGAAGCACAGTATATGAGAGTGGCAGAGTGCAGAGTTTAAAGAAAGGACAAATACATTCAAATTCTCCACAGTTGAAGACATAATCTTCACATTCAAAGAATTGATCAAATCTCAAACTAAATAAGAAAATACACAATGCAAACAGTGCACGGAAACAACAGGATACTAAGATAAAGACAAAATTGCAACAGTAACCAGAGAGCAAAGCTAAAGTATCATCCAAGGAGTAACAGATCACAAGGAGGGTCATCAGCAGCAATAGGCAGTATTCAAAGACAACAGTAACCTCAAGGTACCGGAAATACAGCATGTGTTAGAACTCCACACCCAGCTAGTTAATCATTCATGAGTTATAACAACAGAAGACTTTCAAAAATACAAATGCTAAGAGCTTGCTAAGCACAGACTTTCTCTGAAAGAACTACTAAAAGATGTAATCCAAAAGGAAAAGATGTTTCCAAAAGGAAAATGAACTGCACAAAAAAAAATAGAATATAAAAAAATAGAAAAGAAAGAACCAGAAAAATTATTGTTAATTTAAAATCAATATTAACTACTTTTGGAGTTTTTCAAATTATGATGGACTTCTTACAAAAAACAATATTAAATGAATATCCAGTATATTTCTTTTAAGAGTGAGGGAGAATTTTCATCTATTTTATACTTTGCACTTCATTCAGAGATGTAAAGTTAAATATACTGAAAGAACTGACACAGTCTGCAAACTTCCAATTCAGTAGAACATACAAAATGTGCAAAGGAAATAAAAAAAACATAAATAATTCAACTAGAGATAGAGGAGGAGAAAAAGAAATGGAAATACATGGCAAAAGAAAACAAAGATCCTTTAAAAACTTTAAGTATCAATTACCATATGAATGCGATGATTTAAATAGTGGTTTTTAAAGACAGATTCTGAAATCAAACAAAAAATAGTTATATATCATTTGTTAGAGAGTCGGGGTTATGCAGCAGCACTAAAACACTGAAAATAAAATAAAGACAGGTGTGTTATACCAAGAATAACAAGAAAATAGAGGTGCTAATAGACAAAAGATTTATAGCTAAGTATTAATAGTGATTATAGTTGTGGGAAGTGATAAATGATTTTTTATAATGTGCTTTATGTTTTCTGGCATTTTTTTCTAAATTTTAAATAAAGAGACATTATTTTTATAACCAGAAAAATATGCATGTTTTTAAGGACCTTATATTAATACAATGTACCTTAAAATAACTACCTCTGTGCAGCACACCTTTATCGGGCACTTACCATGAATGGGGCTTGCAGGACCCCCAGGGCTTTGGGTGATTGGATGGTGAGTGTGAAGTCTCAGGGCGTGGCTGCACACGCGTGTAGACTGTATAACACTGTACACTTAGCCACACTAAATGTATCTTAAAATTCTTTCTTTAAGAACAAATTAGTCATAGAGTGCTGTAATTTTTTTTACTTTATAAACATCTTCATTCTTAATGTCCTTACTCTTCTATATCATCTAATTTAAAACATAAACAATGGAGGTAACAAAAGATTTTCCACCCCACTATGATGTTACAGATCAGCCATATGACTGCAGTAAAACTAAAGCACCGGGGCTGGGGATTTAGCTCAGTGGCATAAGCAGCTGCCTTAGAAGCAGGCGGTCGTGAGTTCGATCCCTGGTACCGATTTAAAAAAAAAACTAAAGCACCAACATATCTACTCGTGTAGAAATCATGACTCTTTCTAGCTCAAAGTACCATTTCTACAAAAGTTTCAACACTTTTTTTTTTTTTTTTTTGGTATTTTAACTCTTTCTGGGTGGCATTATTAGCAAAATGAAGTCTAAAAAGGGAACTCACAGTTTTAATAATGAAAATTTCCACAGCGTTTACATCTATGTTTTGAAATTCTGCCTAGGAAACATGCGACAAGAACCAAATATACAATCAAAAATGTGGTGAATGTTCAAATTAAAGTTTCATTAAAAGTTTACTGTTAATGATACATTGCCATTAATCCAAATTAGCCTGTTAATCTCAAAATATTTCCCTTCTCTTTGAACATATTCACCTCATAGTTCTTGTCATTTTCTGGCCTCTGTCCTGAATCAGTTCAAAACGTTTACCGTTTGGGTCATTTAGACTTTGGAGAGGAGCCAGCCAGAAGTCACACGGTGCAGATCCAGTGCCGAGGTGGACATGGACATACCATCACGTTTCTATTTGACAGAAATTGCCAGAAACATTTTCAGTCAGCTCAAGACATTGAGGCAGCCACAACAATGCAACTAAAGACATAAATGAGGACTTCAGAGCTACTTCTAGAACTAACAAAAGTGATAGGCTATGTCTTCGAAGGTTGGGGGGGATATTTTGAGGAGATTTAATAAGAATGTGCTTTTTATTCTCATTTTTAAATGTAAATACTCACCATATATTCAATCACAACTGCATACATTGTTTGAACCTGATAGTCTCTCTTAGGTTATACTTCTCTATTTTTTTAAGCAGATATAAAGTTAAGACTAAATTTTAAAATATGTATAGTATATTTTAAAATAATTTTCACAGCTCCAAAGTAAGGAAAAACTCACCAAAATTATTAGAAATTACCTTTATCTGTATTTATAGTAGCCTCCCCAAAATGTCATCATTTGTAAGTAATGGATGCATTTCTATCCAAATGGATATTGAGAGAAAAAAGTACATTTTCTAACTGTACCAGAAAGGGCTTTGCAAATAGCATGTGGACAATTACATTTCTGAAAACATTCAATTGGCCACCTGTCTTGGCTAGATTATAATAATGTGCATTTGGGCAAATCATATCATTTTACTTGGTCATTTTAAACATACACTGTGCATTTCTCTTCTTACCTCTCAAGATAATTCTCTAGCATGCTTCCAACTTAAAGGAATATGCAGATACACCCTAGATATCTCGTTGTAAACAGATCTGCTTTGTAGGAGGCCAGCTGTATTTCTCTCCAGCTAAAGCTTATTTCCTAGAAGATGGCAGCGTACTGTGTTAGGCATGTTGGAGTGGGTGGCACCTTTATCAGACGCCCTATTTAAGAAAATAAAAACAAGGGTAAGCAATCAATACCTTTCATCCACTGTCATAGACTGTGAAGTATTCCCTCCCTATCAATAATCTAGGTTTATCACTTTCACAGCTAAGCTCCTTTTGTACAACTCTGTCTCTTGTGCAATACTGTTCATATTCATTTATGATACCACATAATGTACAAAAAACTGATTTTGAGAAATGGATATGGAGGCATTCAAATGCATAGTTCCAGCAGATGTACATGAAGCTCTGGAATATAAAACTAGTGACTTCATTTGACTATTCTTCATATTATCGAAGAGTATTATCTTATGCATAATTAACAGGGTTTTGAAAGGTAGAATATAAAACAGTATAGTGTTTCTTGTCAACTTACATGGGGAACTCTATTGTGACCAATATAAATATGCTGTAATTATGCTTTGTACTTAATCTGGAAGAGTGATCAATATCATAACTCTGATGATGCATCTTTATTTTCAAAGATTTTCTTCCTTCCCCCCATTATCCTTCCCTCCCACTAGTAACTGTACAAAGCAAACTAAAATCCTTCTGAACATCATTGTAAACTCTGGCTCACTCACATTTTATAAATGGCAATGATGTGGGCCTTGAAATCATACAAATTAAATTATTGGCATGACCATATAAGTTTTATACATAACTTCAACAAACTATAGTGTCTTACGTCTTACCACAAAGGTCTTACCACAAAATCCTTTGGATTAGTAGGAGTTGGTAGAACATTCCAGGTCATCCAAACCCTACTGATAATAAATGTGATGCCTCACAAAACCTTACCAATAGCCTTATTTCATTCACAAGTGGGCACCCAAATAAAAATACTACCTTCCATGCCATTCTGGATTCTCCCCCTCACAGACATTAAGATGGCAATTAACCTGAAAACTGCTTGTCATGGGCTAGGTAGTAACAAGCAGATTGGAGGGCCTGGGTCACACTGAAGATAAAGCTTCAAGGCAGAACCAAAGCAGGCAGGCAGGTGACTTCCAGAGTGGAGCTGAGTAACCAGATTCCTGAGACTGGGATTGCAGTGCACTCAGCATTCAGCAACTGTGGGTGCCAGGCACTGTGCCAGGCTTGCTCTCCAACACTGGGATGGGGTCACCTAGGAAAACTAGACTTTTCCTGTGGTTGTCCATAAGGAGATATTTTTAATTAAACCATTTTTAAAATCTAGACTCGAGGATGACTGTAAAACTAAATATTACATACTCCAAATAATGAAGCCTAAACTTGTAATTAAATGGGATGAGTAACTTATAAAAGTTGAAACATATTGTATAAGATCCAAAATGACAAATATCTTGGAAAAGGTAGAGTGGTAGTCCACACTACTGTGATATACACTTGTTTTAAGTCTGCTCTTTTATCTAGGCATTTAGTAAATAGTTGTTGAGTGAATATTTTAGCAACTTTTCACCCAATCGAAAATAAAACATTAAGCTCAGTTCAGTGGCTATCTGGATGTAGAGGACAGATTAGGATAGCATTTTGGAACCATTTATTAGGGCAAGATCAACTCCACATAATTTCCTTTAACTTCAAAATGCCACCATAGCAAAACAGTTGTTGATTTGTACTCCCAAAGATATTCAAAACAAATTCATCTTGTCCAAATACAAGTGTAGACACTAAAGGATGCTTCCTATTTCAAAACGTGCATTTGGTGGTACTCTAAACCCTCCTTGTCACTGTCGGCACGCAAAGGATGAGGGTCCTCTCTATGTTTGGAACATGCCCCTTGAAATTTTAAAAAACAGGGGCTGGGGATTTAGCTCAGCGGCATAAGCGCCTGCCTTGAAAGCAGGCAGTCCTGAGTTCGATCCCTGGTACCCATAAAAACAAAAAAGCCAAAAAAAAAAAGAAATTTAAAAAAACAGCCAGTACATTTTGAAAAGTTACATATAAATCCGTTAGAGGTGATCAACTTGTGCTTCCTCTAAACTATTCACAATGAACTTTTTGTTTTTCCCATTTTACAAAGCCACACAAAAATTCTATCCACTGAGCACATAAAAATGCGAGTTATTTGCTGAAGACTTGATAACACTGAGAGAAAAGAGTCAAACATTTCATTTCATGAAAGCATGAAAAAAAATCTGACTCTTACAGTTACCTTCAAGGTAAAATTAATTATTAATTGGCAAAGCCTGGACATGGAATGATTGCTATCAATATTTTAATACTTTCAGTGCTAATTTAATTCTCACCATCACCGTTTGTCTACTTTAGAAGCAAGAAAGATCTGTTTACTTTCAGAAAGGCTTGCTATAATGATCACCTTAAGAAGGTTTCCAATATTTTGAAATGCTTTAAATCTTCTTCTCCTTTAATTTCTAATATTAAGCAAACTGAAAAAAAATATGCACATTTCATTCTCAGAAATGAATCATTCTTCGCTGGCTCGTGAAAGATTAGATTGCAAACTTCCAAACAACATTAATTTTTTAATTCCCACCCACCAGTACTGTGGCTCATTCTGCATTCAGATGTGAGCTTTCTCCCAGAAGCCTTGCAGTTATTTGTACAACTTGAACCTTGTAAAAATAGAAGGGGGAACTTACCTGTTAGCTGAATTCAACCTAACTCATCTCTAGAGCCAAGCTTGCAGAGAAACCCAGCTAACACGCCTCTCCTTTCAGAATGGCTTAAAAGAAACCTTAAAGTATTGAGAATCAGATGTGTCTGTCACAAATGGAGCGTGAACAAGTAAGAAGTATTAGGAACTCTCCATGTTAGCTCTTCAGGGTCCATTGACCCACAGGAAAAGACACTGATGAATAGCGCCTTTGGAAGCTGGAGATACCAGCCCAAGAAAACCTCAGCTTCCAAGGTGACCTCCATTTGCCATAGGGGCAGAGCCACAGCCTCTCATTGTTGTATTAAAGCTCCCAAACAGACAAGGGGAGAGTCAAAAAAAAGGTTTGCAATGGCCTAGGGCATTTAGAGCCTAGAAGAGCAGTTCTTCTGAGGACAGCATCACCAGAAGACAGTTCCCATTTTTTAAAAGTTAAAAGGCTGCCTCCTGCTGTGCTGAACCGTGTGAGAATATGAAGGGTGATACCCTATGCCTCCAACGAAGCAACCCCAGATTTTTCCCATCTTTTATTCACAGCACATATGCGGTTAATTCTGTACACCATCCTGACTTCCGGGCTGACAAAGTACAGTCAACCCTAAGGGGATAGGACCTTAGATTTCCAGCCCTCCACTCTCCCTGATTCCCAAAATCTGCATATGCCCTGGGTGTCATATTTCCCTGTCACCTGTCCATGTCATCTCATATGCTCAAATCATGTCTGGATTACTTATCATAACAAAGAAGCTGTTAGACTATATTGTTTAGGGGCTGATAACAAAAAGTTTGTACATGTTTAGACAGATGTAATTTTTTCAAATATTTTCAATTCCCAATTGCTCGTGTACATATATGCATATATGAAGGATAGGGTGGGCCAAATATAACTTCAGTCCTCCCCGTGACGCTGCTGTCTCCCAGACACCAGCTCTGCCTGACCCTGTAATCCTGGGAGCCTCCGGGCCGCCACCACACCAGCACCTGTCAAGGAGGGAACAGTGTCCTGGTCGGTCACTGCCAGGATCCTTGGCCACTGCAACTCACTGCTTAACCTGTTTCTCATCATCACATCTGACTAATCACCGGCTGCTTCTACCCTCTTCTCTATGCCCACCGGCACACTCGCCAGGCTCAGTCTGGCTACCATTTCCCCTTCCTCATTTATTTGATTGTTTGTTCATGTTTAGATTGAATCCTCTACACTGATCTACATCTTCAAACCCCCCTCCCCACTATTACCACCACCACCTCTAAGAGAGGAGCTTGCTAGGTTATTAAACGCCCAGACTGGACTCAAATTTTCAATCCTTCTATCTCAGGCTCCCAGAATGCTGGAATTACAGACATGCATCACCATGTCCAAATTCAACAGCCTTTTAACTCACTCCCTCTACCAGCTGAGGCCTCTCCAATCCTTTGGACTGCAGGCACAGTGCTGTTGTTCAGAGTAGCTATCAGGGGAGTGCTGCCCAGTTTAAGCTTCTTCAGAGGATTCCCACTGGCCCCAAGGTACCACTGAGCTCTCTATCATGCATTTTGGATTTACCACTGGCCTTCTTCAAAAAAGCAAACAACTCTTATGCCCCTCAATGTGTAGACCTATACTCTTTTTCAACTTGGAGCCCTCTCTTGTTGGTCTGACCTTACCTTATAAGGTTAAACTAAGTCTCTTCCCAACATGACATGCCAGAAAAATCATTGTAGTTTGCTCATGCACTAACCTTGTTCAGTGTATTCTGACATTACTATTTCATTGGAGCAAAAATTTCATTGTGTATTCTTAGTATATCCATAGAAATGGATATTTGCTAATATTTACTCTGAATTCTTATTGTTGACAACTGTTGTCAATCTCAGAGCAACTCTATGAGTTGCCATAATTATTATCCCCATTTTTTTAGATAAGGAAACTGAGAAACAGAATTGTTAAGTAAAAATGACATAGATAATAAGTGGGAAGAGCCCGGATGCTGACCGCAGCTGTCAGCATGAGGGTTAACTACCAAACTTAACTGTAACTCCAGAGGTAATCAGAGAGCACAAACTATGTTTGAATTCATGAAAGAGGACAAATGTGTGCCAATGGATGTTAGTAAAATCTTTTCATGTCAGAGTTGAGGGTAATAATGATGACCAGAGTGTCTAATCTACAAATCCCTGCAAGAATTAGCCCCATCACCCAAACATCGTATCTTCCCTAGTGCACAACTCACCAGGGAAAATTTTTCATATTATATTAAAATTTCAGCCCACTTCAAGGAACAACAAAGTAGAAATATCACACTGTACAATTATTTTCCTGCCAAAACTAAAACTACATAATTAACGTTACAGAAAAATGTGGGGTCCCAATGCTTTGAAAATCTAAACTGTATGTCATTTTGCCATTTATAGT